ACTCTGCAAACATCCGCTGAATGAGTCAGTACATGCCTTGGCCTCCTACTCAGTGCCTACCCGAAACTGGCCCCACAAGACTGTCACTCTGCATTTTGCAGACAGATGAGAAAGGGCAGTGGCTACTCCCACCCGAGATGACCCCTGTCCCTTGGAAACAGGTGAGAGGGAGATGCACACTGAGCTCCTTACTGGAGAAACCCCTTCCCCGGGGTTTTGGGTGGCCATGGAGAGGGTTGGTCCCCTAGTGGGCATGCTATCAGCCTCTGCTTCCCCAGTCGAGTTGAGAGGAACCTCAGCCACCCCTGCTGCTGTTGCTGTTAAATCCTGCAAAGACATCACAAGAGACCACGTCATTGGGCCCTCAGTCTGACCAATGTGCCCATGGCTGCAGACTGCTTGGGCCCCTAAGGACTTTCCCATCTATGACATCATGAATCCAGGGACAGGAGAGACCGCCTAGGCACCACATCTTGTATTTGATTCCAAGCATTGGTCTGCACCTCCAGTGACAGGGAGATCATTGCTCCTTAGTCTCCAGCTCTACTGAGACACATCATCCTCCCTGTGACCTCCCCATGCGGCCATTCCAGAGCCATCAGAGCAATGTCTTTGCTCATGATATCGTTTCCAAGATGGGCAGGCAGCCCCCCATCCACCTCAGCCTTCAGCAGACCAGATCCTCCTGCTTATTCTCTTTCCCTGTGACTCGGTTTCCTTTGGGAAATACACAGGCAGATTCTCTTAAGGTTACACAGTAAATGGGGAAAATGGAAGGAGAGACCAGCTTTGTCTGCTGGTATCGCCAAACTGACTATGTTTTAGTTCCTTTTTCCAAAATTTGGGGAGTTTTTGTTTGCTTTGTTTTGCAAAAATGTAGTTCTTTTGAACACTAAAAACTCTAGGCTGCTCCAAATTAAACAGATTTCCTTGCAGAACTTCTTAGAGCCTCTAAAAGGGGGAAATGGAGGATGGAGCATTTCCCAAACTTACTTTGACCACAGAGCCCTTTTTTCATGAAATGTATGAAGTCCTTACTGTCCCAAAAACAGTTCAAGGAAAAATGATGCCACAGATGTTAAAATGAGACTCTTTCTGACTTAACATCAGCTAAAACCCCAGGGTCAAGTACAATTCCACAGGCATCAGGTAACTTCCACTGCTAAGAAACAATGAAATGACACCAGACTTACCAGCATCAGCCCACCCCTACCTGCGGGGTTGCATAAGGAAAGGTACAGGATTCATTTGGGGGTTGTGTGCCCAGACAGTGAGAATTCTTTTAGAGAGAATTTTCATAGTGCTGTGAGTTTTCCCCCTACCCTCTCCCTACTCCAAATCATTTGGTGAGCTGGATATGTATGCCTTAGAATCTGGGTGACATGGGGATTGGATTTTTTCCAGGGAAAGATAAATGGTAAAAATAGGGAGTCATCTAGACCCAGAGTGGAGAGTGAGGGAGAGAGAAAGAGAGAGAGAGAGGAGGAGGGGGACTTGGGAGAAGGAGAGGGAGAGAGGAGGGGAGGAAAGGTGAGGGGAAGGGGAGAGAGATCCATCTTGCAGTTGTTTTACTGGTGATAGACAAGATATAATCCCACTAAAAAAGCTGGCTAAAGCCCTCTTGAAATGGATTGTACCCAAAGAGCCATCCAGAAGGCCAGGGTACCCGGCAGGGGATAGAAGCCCAGGCAGAAGTTATAAGGCCAACAACCTACTGAACTTCAGTCCTAGATAAGAATCACAAAAGCCCCTATGAGAGAAAGATCCAGTAATTAGGAATCTTCTGCACCAAGGCCCCAGGTCACAAGTTGACCAGCCATGTACACTGTGCTTTGTACTCCAGGTGGGCCAGACCCTGCTGATGTTAAAAACACCTATAGGGGAGGGGAGAACATGGAGAGTGGGGAGGAGAAAGAAGTAAGAAAAGAGAAGGAACCTCAGACTATGCTTCTCTTTCCTGGTAGTTGCTGGTCTACATACAGCAGACCTACATATGGAAGGGGAAAAACTGTAGTTTTGCTGAATTTTTGACATTATGCTGGACTGGACTTTGAAAATATCTGGAAAATAGACCGTCACCAGATAGTGACAGCTATGAGAATTGCCTGAGTTTTCATCCCAGGATAGGGGAAGGGCTGAGCTGGCACCGTGGGTTTTCAGTAGGGACCCACATGAAAAAACTACTTATGCTTTAATTCTTCATCTTACCCATCCAGCATTCCGAAAACTGGTTTTGCAAGTGAAAAAGCAAATTACCAATCAATAGTGTGGACACATCTGCAGTTAATCTGATTCTGTCTGGAAGGTGGCTCTGAGGGCTGGGAAGTCAGGCATCTGCACAACTCAGCAAGATAGGGGGGACTATGCTGAGGGCCACTCATGACCAGGCAGGTGTGAGGACAAACTTGCACTTCCACTGGTTCTGGAGCATTCCTGGAGAGCCACTGCTGGGACGCTTGTCTTCTCGGCACCAGGAGGACTATGAAAGTCTTGGTGACACTCAACTAAAACCCTTACAGTGCTCAGTAAAAGTCACCATCAAGTTTGAAATAAGCAATTGAGTTTATTATGACTTAACACATGAAATTTACCACTCACTTACCTTTTCTTTAATGATGTCAAGGATGGCCCCATCCCCTGAGCTGGTGTCGGTAACGGGGTCACCATCCACAGAGTGAACCCCTTCCAGTGTGTCATTCAGGATCTCACCAGACCCTACAGGAAGCAGTACAGACATTTGGTAATTTTCCAGTCTTGGAAAAGAATGAGCTATTTTTCTTCACTCATTAACTTGCAAAGATGTCCATAATACTGTAATACGGAATTAAGGGGGCAAAAAACCCCAGATGCAGAACAATACAGGTGGCAAGCTAGTAGAGGCTCTGGCACCACCTGCCGGCCAGGAATCCCCTGGCAAGTGGCCTGACCTGTGCCTCAAAGTCCTCATCTATAAATGGGGGATTATAATAATTCCTACCTCAGAGGGTTGTTTTGAGGATTATGTGTCACACGGATTAAATAAGATAATCCAAGAAAAATATCAAGGAAACCCCCTGGAATATAGTAAGCAATTGATAAATGTTCCTTGTTGGCATGGTTCTACATTTGTAAAGTAGAAAAAAAAAACCCATAAGTATACATGCTTTATCAATTATATATAATTATTATATAGCATCCACGTTACGTAATAATAATTATACATAACATATACATACGCACACACATATGTGTATGTGTCTTATGTTTACACATATCCTTTGCTCTATCACACTGCTTAATATTGGTTTTTCCCAGAGGACAGGAATAGAAGAGGAAATTACTATTTTTCTGCTTCATGCAACTGTGTATTAATTGAATTGTTACCACATGCACATATTTCTTTTGCAATTTATAAAGCAAAGGGGGTCATGAGCAAAGAAAAAGAAGTTTCGGGACCATAACAGCGTGCCATGTTCTCCCTCGGGTAACCCTGCTGCTGGCCCTCCTGTCTTGCCCTCCAGACCCCAAACTACCACTCGCTGCCCCTGGACAGAACCTGGCTGGGAATCCCAGGTTTTCAGTCCCCACTATTACCACATGGCACGTGTGTCCCTACTGTGCAGAAAAGGAACAAGGTCTCGAAGTGAGTTAAGTGGTGGGGAAGGGCCCAGAAGATAAGTCGGCCTGTCTCAGACCCAGGCCCTTCTCACACATGCGGCCATGGCGGTGCTCGCGCGAGTCTCTCGGTCCCGACTATGGAGAGGGAGGGCATGACTTTCCAAAGGCCCCTGCGCCTCTCTTCGCCTCGCCCCACCTCGCTCCTGTCGCAGGCTCTTGTCGTTCCTGCTCTGACCACCAGGCGATGCTGTGGGAGCAGCCGGCGGGTCCTAGGGCATTTGAGGCCTGGCAATGTGGGGGACCGATGGGATGGCCCCCTTCCACTGGCCCAGATGCTGTTAGGCAAGCCTGACACGCAAATATTAGGGAGCTTTCCCTAGCCTGGTGTGGCGCTCGGGGTGCAGGCTTCTATCTCCCACCGTCTGGGCTGTCTACCCACTCAAGAAGAAAAGGAACATTTCAGCGGCTGCACGTTTCCGTTTGGCCTTTAGTCCACGGGTAAGGAGAGCAGCTAATCGAGGCAAGCTGTGCTGAATCTGAGTCCCGTTCTGCTTGTGGATGTTACCTCCTCGGTCTAGGAAAGCCCCAGCCCGCAGCCCCTGCTCAGAGATCCTAATTGCACCCAAGAGAACACTCTAATTCTCAACCCATAAGCCCCTTCCACAGCTGCAGCCAGATTCAATCTTCTCAAACACGTGGGAGGCAGGTGTTATTAACACTCCCAGAAACAGTTAAGGAATCTGCAGCTTGGAAGCCTGAGCAACTTGCTCCAGGCCAACAGCAGGTAGATGGCTGAACAGGGCTTCCTCTGACACTGTCTGACCCCTGCCCCCAGGAGGTCTGTCCACAGTCACACCACTGGGCTCCATCACACCTTTTTAAAATTATTGTGCAACTTTCTCTCTCCTGTATATTCTATACCCACAGACTTCCCAAGTTTAGTTGTTAAAATAATGTGTATTAATTAATCAATGCCAGAATCAAAAAGAATAATGGTAAATATTATTGAATATCATTGTAAGAAGACTTGTAAAATACAGTACAATAAAGAACTTAAAAACCACTTGTAATCTTACCACCCAGAGATAACTCCCCATAGCATAATGATATATATTATATCACAACTGTAATATATCTAATGCATACATTGCTCTACCTATATATTCTATATGTTCAAAATCAGGGTCATAGCACACATAGGTTTGAAGTCTGGCTTTTTAGTGGAATAGCCCATGAGCATATTGCTGGGTCATTAAATCTTCCACATCAACGATGTCAAGACTATACATGTGAATGAAATAGAATTTGCCCAACCAATCCCTACTATGGTCAGTTTGGGTTGTTTTTGCTACTAAGAACAGTGCTGCTAGGAATGGTCTTGGGCAGCATCTCAGTGCTGTGGCCATAGCTGTAACTTTGGTCTAATATAAGTGCCACTCTGAGAAAGGCTGGAGACCTCAGGCCTTGGGCATGTGTCAAGCTGCTGCCTGGGGCATATCATCTGATGTTTGGGCTTTGGCCAGTGCTCCTCTGAATGGGTAGAGAAGGAAGAAGCAGTAGCCACAGCCTGGATGGGGAGCCAGGAGGCTAGCTCACCCCCAGGACCTGGCACTGACCTGGCAGGTGACCAGAGCATTCCCTGCCCCACTATGGCCATCAGTTTCTCACGTGTGCCACACAGAAGTTTAACTGTCTCCATCCTCTGACTGTCGGGGAGTTTATGGCAAAGGGCAGAAAGGGTGGGGATTCTGGAATCAAGCCTGGGCCCTGGGCTGTGTGGCTGTGGGCACGTCCGTCACTTAGCAGTTCCAAGTGTCAGTTTTTCCACCTATAAAATTGTGGCTAGGAATATTGACTAGGAAGTATGTTGTCGGGATTGTAGAAGAGCTGTGTAAACACTCAGTGCACAGTAGGTATTTCATAAACAATGATGATTATTACAAGCTTTTTCTGTTAAACCACAGGAAGGGTAGAGTTTAGAAGGTAAGGGCTCCAGACCTGGGGGTCAAAATCTCAGGCATCTGAGATCAAATGACAGTGATGCCTTTCATGAGCAACACAGTCCTGGCTGGGTTACTTAACATGTCTGTGACTCCATTTCCTCATCTTGTCTGTAAGAGGAGGATGGATATCACACACCAACTCTTTAGAGTTGAGGGGAAATTCAAACGAGATGCTGTGTGTCCCATGCATGGCGTGGCTGGATACACAGTAATCACTCCATAAAATGCCACTATGTATGAACATGCATCAGGACTTGCCTTGCTCAGGGCTGCTGAGCTGAATGACGCTCATGTTGATGGTTTCCGGGGTCCCCTCAGGTACAGGCTCACCGGAAAGCTCTGGGTCCTCAGAGGGGAAGGGTGGAGTTGGAGGTGTGTTTATGGGTTCAACTTTTGCTTCTTTAGGCTAAAGGAAGAAAAAAAGGAGATGTAAAATTACATACTTGGCAGTAAAGCAGAAAAAATGACAATAAATATCATTGGAGAAAATAATATACCTACAAAGTGCTAAATAATACCCAGAAGAAAGCCTAAACCTGCTTGTTGTATACCTGGCCAGTGACTGCACTTCCCCAGGGCCTGAAAGAGGTGCAAAATAAAGGTAATTAAATTCTGTTTAGTTTGTGGTCTGCTCATCTCAGCCAAAGCACTTTGAGTATGAGGACCACATTTCTGTGACCCCAGAATCCCAGGCCAGCACAGAGAAGATGCTCAGTAAAGATCTGTTAGATTAGGAAATGATAGAATGAATGAACGAATGAATGAACAAATGAGTGAGCCAGGGTACACCCAGCAAACACCATATAACTTTGATCCCAGGTGTGCCCTGGTCATGAACACCTATGGAAATGAAAATTGGGTAGGGTTTCCTTCCAAGAAAACTTCTGCATTTCTATAGCTTTTCCAAAGCCAGTCAATGTCTTAACCAACTTTACCAACTACAGAAAAACAAGCAAATGAAAATTTAATAGTTAGAAACACAAAGCAGTTCAGAGGTCTAGACAGAAATCCTGATGTGGCCCCCAAAGTTATGACATTGGCCTCCAGACCCAGGTAGCAGCTCACGAGACCCAGGGTATATCAGTGTTGAAAGGGCCTCATCACTTTCTAAGCTTGAGGGGCTGGGGGGGGGGGCGGTGAATGGGGGAATCCTGCTGACCATTGTTGGGTTTGTGGTGTGAACAGAAACAAATCTTTGTTTTGATGCTAAGATTTCAAGGTTCATTTGTTACTGCAGCATCACTTTCCCCATCCTGATTACCAACAGAGGGTTAGTTCTTTAAAATCAGAATCTAGTGTATAAAAATGACTCTTTGCACCCCCAGAACAAGGAGAATCCTTAGGATCCCCATTATGTAGGACTTAAGTTCAGTTTTTACAGTCAAGCTTGGATCAAACCCCAGCTTTCCACTTACTACCTAACTTATGTTGAATAATTCATCAAACTTCACTGAGCCTTAGCATCTCCCTTGGTAAAAATGGGGACAATAATAACTATCCAAAGGTAGAAAATACATGGAAAGGCTAAGCTCACCTCTGTGTTCAGTACACAAATATTCCACCATATTCATTACTGAAAAAACTTCAAGTGCAAGCGACAAAAATGAGAAAACAATCACTTTGAATACCAACACCTACCAATAAATCACTAGGAATCTTATTGTGCTGTGAAATCTTCAGGGTAGAGGTGGGAGGAGGCTTCAAGGAGCTGGGCCTTGAAGAATGAACAGAATTACAGAAAATAGGAGTAGAGGGAGGGGTCGATGGAGGCCCAGGCCCAACAACTTGAGCTTGGAAAGAGCCCAGGAAGGAAGCAGCAGAATACAGCCTGGGAGGCAGGAGAGGGAGGGGCTTGTTGTTTGTCCTTGGACCCATGGGTAAGGATAGCCACGGTGGGGTGTTAGGTGATGGAGTGGCGGAGGCAGCTGTGCCCTTTGCAGAGTCCACCGTGGTGGCAGTGTGAGCATAGATTAGGGGGTTGAGGGTAGAACCAGGACACGGGGGTGGCACTAAAGAAGCCCTGTAAGGCAGGAGCTAAGGCAGCAATGGAAGCAGAGAGCAGGCATCTCTCCAAGAGAGGTTAAGAAGACTAGCGGGACTCCCCTGTTTCACCCAGTTGGATGTGGGGAGGAAACACAGGAGGACAAGTGAACAGTGGGATGAGTTCTGTAACTCAAAGTGGCCAAAGTCAGGTTTGTATGCATTTGAAATCACTGACTCCAGTCCATCAACCAAAACCTTCCTTTGGCAAACCCCCAACAAGGCAGCCACAGAAGAGGACTCTGCTGAGTTGACCCTCAGTGAGGAGAGTAAGGTGTCCTGCCTCAAACAAGTGGATGGGGAACCAGGGTAGCCTGTAACAAAAATAGGAATCTCAAGTTTTAATAAGACTTTTGTTGTTGAAAGAGTTGCACTTTGCTGAGCCTCACACTCATGTCCACACAAAGAGATCTATTGATCCAGCACGTATATCCTGAGGCCCTACTGTATGCCAGGCCCTTGGCTAAGCCCTGAGGACACAGAAATGAGTAAATAAGATGGTGTGTCTGCCCTAAAACTGTCAGACTTTGGAGGGGCCACAGACCCAGACCCAGATCAGACACAACTAACTGATTTGATGACACATGGGACAGTGTGGGATCACAATTGTGGGACAATTGGATAGCAGGGTCCCCAACCCTACGGGGAAGAGGGCAAGGAGGGGCCACCTTTGTAGTCCCTCTGCGATTCAGTCCGCTGGTTATGGCTCAGTTTCAGTGTCTCCGAGGGTGGCAGGCTGGAAAGGCTGAGCGTGGGGAAGTGAGATTCATTCCAAGAAAGAAGCCAGACAGAGAAGGGCGGGGACTGTCTGAGCCGCAAAGGGAAATTTCCTGTCCTGAAGAGGTGCTGCAGAGGAGAGCCACGCGGGGCCCTTCCAGGAGCTGATAAAAGGGAGGAGTCCCCAGCTCAGAGGTGGCTTGACTGAGAGCTACCTGGGCCCAGAACCCAGGACCTGGCGCTGCCCACTTCAGGCTGGGCTGCAGGGTCAATGCTCTCCACTGCTCTATGCCTTGGCACCTTCTTGGTAGGACAGACCCAAAGAAAGGGAGGTAAGCATGGGAGAGCCTGTCCACAGCACAGACAGAGGGGCATGCAGAAGGGATTCTGATGACCGCTAGCCCCACAGCCACAGCGGGGTCGTGCCCTCAAGGGCTGAGGGCAGCCATAGGGGTTTGGCACACTGATCAGCCAGCAGGGCGGGGCCCCCAAGAGGAAGGAGGCATCCCCACTGTGCCCCACGATGATGCTGGGTCAGCCAGGAATGGGGTGAACTGCGAACCAACTAACTAACTAATGAACTTCTCCACACTTCTCCCCTAAGTCTCGCAACAAAGCCATCAGTCAGTAGTAACAGCAACAAGCACTCACCACACATTGCCACAAGCCAAGCCCTGTCCAGGGTTTCACGGGCCATTCCATCTAATTTTCACACTCACCCCATGAGGAATGCAAGAGAAGGAACCTGAGCCCTAGAGAGGTTAAATCCCTAGCTCAAGATCAACAGCTAGGAAGCGGCAGGGTTGGGACTCACACTTGGTGGGACTCCAACCTGCACCAGTTCTCTTAAAACCACTGAAAGAAGTGGGCTGGGGAACTTGGGAAAGAAAAGGTTTGGGTGCCCCGGAGGCCAAGTCCATCAAATCACTAACAACCTTCTCACCTTTCCAGATACTCTGGTTTGCAGACCCCTTGGCCAGCACGTGTCCTACACCTGCCCCTGCCCCTGCAGTGCTGTGGCCCTGAGAAGAGGCCCAGGAAGGGATCCAGTCAGGCCTCGCCTGGTCCTGACTCTACCACCATGTGACCCTGGCAAAGCTATGTTTGTGCCCCTGAGCATCCATTTTCAGGTCTGTACTGTACAGTGGGGCTGATGTTACCTCTCTTGCAGGGTGGGGGAAGGGAGTAAGTGAAATCACATACACAAAACCACCAGGCACACTGGGTATCCGGAAAAGCCAGTTCTCTTCCCTCCCCTCTGCTTCTGTGCGCCTGTCCAAAGTTGCCCGGCTCCAGTGCCCCTGCCTCACTTGGGCCCTGCGATCATCCCAGGTTCTCAAACCCTACTCTCTTCTCCTGTCCTTCCCAATCCTCACTCTGAGCCACCCTGGGCTACTGGCATCTCTGCCTGAGTTGCCCTCAGGCCACTCTGTGCCCAGTGCCCTAAGCACTGGACATGCCCCTGGGGTGGCCAAGGGCTGATGGGCACAGGATTGCACCAGTGCCTGGAGCAGCCTCACTCCCCACTCAGCAGGTGGGCAGGCATGCCAGCCCCCTAAGAGTTGGTTGTGGTCCTGAGGATGAACTTCTGCCATACCACTGAGGCCATGACCTCATGGATGGGCACGAGGAGATTCATGCTTTAGCCCCAGCTTTGCCCACACACCTCTGGGCCAGTCTCTTCTACTTTCTGGGCCTCAGTTTGCCCATATTTACAAAGGGCAGTTTTCTGTACCCCTTTCTACAGAAAGAGATGACCTTTAAGTCAACCTGCACACCTGTCACCTGAAATCTATAGTTTTTAGCCTTCACCTTATTTCAATTTCCCTGCTTTTTTCTATAGAGATGAGTGTACAGAGTGAGCCAGATCAGTCTAGGAGATTGCTGGAGGTTTTCTGTGTTCAATGACTCAGATACTTGCTTGTTCTTTTCATTAAAAATGGGCTCTTTGGTATCCCTACTGTCTGACTCAGTACTTTCAAAACAACTTCCCTGTCTTGGCCACAGGGTGTGTTCTCGGCCACAGAGTGTATTCCCAGGAGGCAGGAAGCCCAAGCCCTTGGCAAGAGAGCTGCCTTGCCCATGGGGCCAGAAGTGGGCTCCCAGAAGGACTGTGTAACTGTGATTTCACAGCGGGAGCCCTGGACAAGTGTAACAGAAACATCAATCAGGGCAATTTTCCTTGGGCCAGCCACTGGGCTGTGACTTGTCCTGCACTGCCTTATCTAACCCTCACAACAACCCTGTGAGATGGGGCTATTCTAATCACCATTCTATGGAAGAGGAATTAAGGTTCAGAGCAGCTGAGTACATTGTCCAAGGCCACAGAGCTGGGGAGCAATGAAGCACAACGTTTGCCCTTGGATAGCCCTCTCCTGGCCACACCGCAGGGTGGCACCTAGGTGTTTCAGTTTACCTAAGGATTTTGCAAAATGCCACTGGCCAATACTTTCCTGACTTCCCCAGATGAGTCAGTGATTAAACTCACAGATCTAAAAACAGAGGCATCAGACCCGAGGCTCTGGGCATCCTCCAGTAATTTTCAGCTCCCTAAAAGTGGACCAAGACCATATGGCACAGTATAGTACTCACCGGGGCTTGAGTGTGGGTGACAGCTTCTAAGATCTCAGCTACTCCATCTGTTTCCTGAAGCCCGCTGGCCTCTCCTGAAGCCTGTGTAGAGACAAAGCACGCTACACACGGGGCAGAGGGACCAGGTTACACAGGAGCCTGACAACTGGGAAATTCAAAGAAACCAACAAAACAGCTTCCGTGTGTGTGTGTGTGTGTGTGTGTGTGTGTGTGTGTGTGTGAGAGAGAGAGAGAGAGACAGAGTGGCTGAGGAGACGGCGTGTATGCAGTGTGCACTGATGATTATTCTTTCATCCAAATTCCCTTTGCTCTCCCAATCATGCATGGAAGGTTGTCATTGGAATCCTAGGCTGCAAACCATTACAGCTGAAGGCTGAATTCCTATTGTTACCTAATGCTCATAACTAGCCTCCTACTGGCAGCCAGTGAGCCCGCATGCCATGATTTTGTAACCAATCTCTTATTCTTGGACCCTGGCGTTGTTTCCACTTTTTCGATATTCATGGCACTGTAGAGATGGATGAAGGATGATGTGACAGGTTTCCCTGTTCCCAGCTTCCCATGAATGCCAGGCCAGGGTCACCTGCTCAAGGAGGACAAATGTTCTTACAGAGCCATATTCCACCTCCGAGTGGCTTTCTGACTGAATCAACAGCGTTCTGTGTTTCACTAAGTTAGTGGGCTCAGCCTATGTCTTATTGTGGGATTGACAGCACCCAAAGAGCAACGGAAATTCTAGGAATATACCTCTGTGTGCTTGCCTCTGACTCCGTGCATCAGGCCTCCCTCTCTCTGGATGGCCCTTTCTTCCTCATCTGCCTCGCCCCTGCTTGTCATTGGTCAGGAGTCAGCTTCTCACTCACCTGCTCTGAGTTCCTCCCCTGACACACTGAGTTTGGGTTTAGGACCCCTCTGTGTTTCCATCCCACTTAACGCTATCGCTGCCCTTGGGGTGAGTGTGAGGCTTGAGGATGGGGGACTCCCCACTCATCCCCTCCTCTGCGGCATCCGCCCGAGGCTGTCACCTTGTAGGTGCTCAGCAGATCCCTGACGAGAGTGAAAGAGGGAGGAAGAAGCAGCCACCTTTATTTTCCTGCTAAGCACCCCATCCCCAGCTTTGGAGTTGAGTCATTTGCCGAGCATAAAAGCTAAATTTAGGTTAGTTTTTAATAGGCATTAACACCCAAAATATCTTAGAGTTTTGACTTTGAGTTTTAGAATCCTGACATCCTTTCTTGGAAATATGTCTGGAAATCGGGCCACTGACTGCTACAGCCATACAAGAACTTAACACCTTGTAAGAAACACAACCCCCCACACCAAAGAGATGGCTGAAGTTCTTTGAAAGGTGCAATGAAGCCAAAGGCCCAAAATAGGACTAGAGGCAGTGCTTGCCAAGATGAGAGGGTGCAGAGCCTCCCCGACGCTGGGGTGAAGAGCTGCTGGGCTGCGGGGCTGTAGGGCCCGCTGGGAGGTGCGGGGGCTCACCGAGGACTCTTCAGCTTCACACAGCTCCTCAGGGGTCCTAGGGTCAGGGTACACAGTGAGCTGCTGTATGGAGCCCTGGGGAAAGAGGGGGACCAGAAACCATAGTTTGCATGTGACAGCATTGACTGCAGTGAAATCCTGACTGTCTCTGTAAGGGAGCGGTACAGTGAAAGCGTGAGTGTGAGAAGGTGATGCCTGTGGCTGTGACAGGAAGCCAGGCCACCCCTCCCCGCTCAGCTGGTGGGGAGGGGCCCTCCTTGGGCCAATATAACACTGACCCCCTGAGCCAGAGAGGCCCTCGAGGAGCAGTGAATTCCAAGTGTGGACCCCACAGTGGCCTCCTGTCTCAGGGTCCTCAGGTTGACAGCAGCAGGCTGTGGTGCCCGTCTCCCTCTCCTGGACAGTGTCTTTCCCCCATAGCTCAAAGCTTCTGGGCTGGAAGGCCTTGTCCCAAGAAAGGCTGCCAGTAGCCCCTGATGGCTCCTTCTCCACAGGGCCCTCAAAGTGTGGGCATCTGGAAATCATCCCTCAGACTTTAACCTAACACTCCCCACCATCTTCCACTGTACTACAGATAAACCCCGACTGCCCCACGGTGCTGCTGGTCCACCGGCGTGGAGGAGTAAATGCACGCAATGACTGAATGAATAACTGCGGTAACTTAGCAATTTCCTCTAGATAGCTTCATAGGAGCTCATTTTCATACCAAAGTTAGTTTCTGATTTTATTTTAGTGCATATTGTCCAAAAGGACAGAGAGAAGGCTAACACTCACCCTGGTATTCTGGCATATTCCACCTTCACAGGAAGAACTTAAGTGTAATTAAGATAAAATCATTTAAGGGTAACAAACTTTACTCTTATTATAATGCCTTAAAGCGTGCAAAGTGCTTTCCCATAGGTTATCTCATTTGACTTTACAAGGCTGGGGGTAGGTTTTCTTATCTCCTCTTAGAGATTAGAAAACACATATCCTCTTAGAGATAAAAACCTCAGAGGATCCAAGAATCCCAACACCATTTAAAATCAGCAGACTAAATTGAAAAGTGAGGACTAGAATCTTGGTTTGGGGTTCCCGTGCTCCTCCCACCATAGCATGCACGCCTCACTGAGGACAGAAGAATAAAATAACAAAGACACCAGGGGGTTGTTGTTATTGCAGGGTGAATCTCTGTCCATTGCCTCCCTGATCTGCCAGGACTGGGATTTGACTCACGGTGAATCTCTCCAGCCCCGTGGCTCCTGCGTTGCCCACGAAAATTCCTGCACTGGACTCGAAAGCCAAAGCCCGGGGCGACCGCTGGAAGGGGATGTGGCTGTGCTCCTCACAGTCCACGAGGAGTGTCACTTCCTCGTCCTGGACAATCACAGCAAAGCGACTCCACTTGTGGGTCATCACGGGCACCGAGAAAGCAGCAGCCTCTTGGGACACATGGGATCCGGGCTCTGTGTAGTAAAGGATGACCCGCTGCTGGCCGTCCTGCACACCAGAGAGCCGCAAGCCCAGGTAGATGACCTTCTGGAAGGCATCAGTGATAGCAAAGAGCACGCCGCCTTGGGCACTGCTGGGTTTCACCATGACACTGATGGCAAAGTCCCTGAAGAAGGTGGATGGGATGAGGGTCCTGACTGGGCGGCCGACGTTGGCACCAGGCCCGAAGCTGTAGGCCGGGAAGCCACCATAGCCCGTGACAAAGGACACAGATAAGGGCAGCGGGACACCGATGAGCTCTGTGAGGTCCAGGTGGCCCTGGGAAGCAGGCTCTGCAGGGAAGAGAGAGAGGCCATGTTCAGTATCGCACTTGGAAATGAGGAAGCAACTTGGCCACAGATGACACAGGACCCCTCAGGAACCCCTGAAACTGTGGTTTCTAAATCAGTGATTTTCAACTGGAGTCCCACAGCACACTGCCGTGCCGTTTGAGGATCTTAGGTGCACTGCAATAATGTTTAAAGATCATTAATTAAATTATGTTCAAATGCACTTCAAAGCACAGTAAGTATATTCTTTATTTTCCTCCTTTTCTTTGACCAACATAGTTTAAGTGTGCCGGGGAAGTTTAACTATAGGTCAAGTATGCCGGGAATAAAAAGGCTGCAAAACATTGTTCTAAATGGTTGCTTTTCAAACCTTTTTGACAATGACCTACAATAAGAAACACATTTACATCACAACCCAATATGCACACGTAAAGACAAATGTTACATACAGCTCTAACACTGAAACAAATGTTTCCTAAAACATTATTGACTTTTAATACTTTCCAGGCACTCAAATATTTTCCTTTCAATTTCATTATTCTTTTTCTCCTTTATTTAATGAAAAACATGCTGGCAATGACCTAGTAAGCTGATTTCATGAACCATAAGTGGACTGTAGACTTTCCGGTTCAGAAAGGAATCTCAGAGGTCTCCTGATACATCGGTCTAAGATGCATGAACCCTGCCCGTGCGTGATGAGAGCCACTAGCCGCGTGTGGCTGCTGAGCACTTGAAGTGTGGGTCTTCCCGAATGAGATGTGTCAGGTGTCAAAGCACAAACTGAATTTCAAAGACTTAGTTTAGAAAAAAGGAATGTAAAATACCTCATTCATCATTTTTATATTATTATATGTTGAAATGACAACTTCGGAAAACATTGGATTAAAATGTATTATTAAACATTTTTTAAAAGAACAATATGAGGAAAAAGTATGTGTCCACCAGTTAAGAAAGAATATATTAATTCAGCAGAAGCTCTCATGAACTCCCTCCAGTCCTCACCTCCTACCGCGCCCCAGAGGTAGCCACTCTTGGGAATTTGGGGTTCATCACTGCTGTGCCCTTGTTGGTACGTGTACTCCACCAGAACTCAGAGCCACTGTGCGCGTTCTAAATGTTACACAAGTGTCAGCACGCTGCACGTATTCTTCTGGCACTTGCTTGTCTATTTCTCACTCAACATTGTATTTTCGAGATTTGTCCTTATTGATATTATACATGTGGCTCTGGTCTTACTCTTTCCCAACAGTACAGTCGAGTATAACTGGATCTATTCACTTTTCTGCTGCCAAAAAGTGAGGTTTCCATTACTATTCAAACAATACTGCTACGGACTCCCTTACACACATCTTGTGGTGCTTACATGCACATGTAATTCCACCACCTGGAGACAGAATTATTGGAGGACCTGGGTATGTGCCCCTGCAGCTTCCCCACATGTTCTCTGAAGCAACTGTGCCATCCTGCACACTCACCAGCCAAGGTCAATTTAGGGGAGGCAGAGAGATGTGATTTGGGAGAGGAGCTTTTTAACTGTCGTGGCTATGTTTATTGTTTAAAGTAGGTGATATTCAGAAGAAGTATCACTATATTATTCTTTTATGGAAAACATTTCACAACGGTTTTTATGAAAATGATTACCCACTCCTCGACAAAGGAGTACATCTGTTGGTGGCCCACTTAGAAACCTCTGGCTATCTACAGCCTCAGGGTCAGGGCTGACCAAGCTGCTACCCTCTAGCTTGAGATGATCTTTGTGGTCTGGACCCAGCTGTGTTCCCTACTGCCTGACATGCACTGGCACAGTCCCTTGAGTGCCCCATGCTGTTCCAATGTCTCAAGAGTGCGTTCCTCTCTGCCATTCATCCCCATCGCTCCCCAGATATTCTGCTCAAGATTCAGCCCAGGCTTGCCTCTCTGAAATCCCTTGCTTCACCTCCCACCCACACCCTTCTCTCCTGGAACTGCATTAGAAGTCCCCTCCTCACAGACTGGGACCCTCCATCATAGCCCCCCTACACTGCATATCATTGTAGGGTCACTTGTCTCTCTCCCCACTGGACCATGAACGCAAGGGCCACACCATTCATCTGTGTTCCCAGTGACCAGCCGGTGCTGATGAATAAATGAATGAAGAAATAAATGAAGGTATGAATGGACCCAGTACAATCCTCTCATTTTAAAAAGATTAATCTAAAGTTAATGAAGTGTTTGCTGGCCGTGAACTCAGATGGGATTCTCAGCTGCTTGCTTGTCCTCTCCAGTTTGCAACTTGCTTTAAAACAGAAAGGAATTTTAAGTAATTGGGGTTTAATATTCAACCCCAGAAAGCTGAAGTTAAAAGATTGATACATTTGATTAAATTTGGCTGCATAGAAATTAAAAAGTTCTATTTTTATATAGCAAAAATAATAACGATAACCCTTACCATGCCAAATAAAAGCTCCCAAACTGGAAAACAGTTCTCTATCACAGACAACAAACTTATTTCCCTAATATGCAAAGCAAATGAATGCCCATAGAAAAATGAGCAAAGAATAGATAATTCTATCCACAGTAAAAGAAATAAAAATGGATCTTAACCCCATGACTGTATTAGTGTACATAGCTATGATTTAATAAAAAAAAATAATAAAAGTTTAAACTAAAAAAAAAAGGATCTTAAATGCATGAAAAATATTCAGCATCACCTGTAATGAAAGAAATACATGTTAAGACTACAAAAAGCTAATGATTTTCCCTACCGGATTAGTAAAGATCAGAATGTTGGATGATGTGCCGTGTCTGCAAGGGTTTGAGGCCACAGGCCCTTTCACGCATTGTTGGTGGATCATAAATTGGTACACCAGCATGGGAGGCAACTTGGCAACATTTATCAAAGTTGCAAACACACATAAGTACTCTTTGACCCAGCAGTTCTACTTCTGTGAATTTCCTTTTCTTTCTTTCTTTTTTTTTTTTTTTTTTTTTTTGGGACAAAATCCCCCCCAAAAGAGTGCTGTGGCATCACAGCTCACAGCAACCTCCAACTCCTGGGCTCAAGCCAGTCTCCCACCTCAGCCTCCTGAGTAGCTGGGACCACAGGCGCCCACCACAACGCCCGGCTATTTTTTGGTTGCAGCCGTCATTGTTGTGTGGGGGGCCTGGGCTGGATTCGAACCTGTCACCTTGGGTGTACGTGGCTGGCACCTTAGCCACTTGAGCCACAGGCACCAAGCCGAATTTCCTAACAGATAAAGTTATATAGATGAAATATAAAACATGTACAAGAATATTGACTGCAGTGTTCTGGGAAGCCAAGGCAGGGGGATTACTTGAGCTCAGGAGTTCGAGACCAGCCTGAGCAAGATTGAGACCATCTCTAAAAATACCCAGGCATTGAGGTGGGTGCCTGTAATCCCAGCTACTCAGGAGGCTGAGGTAAAAGCATCACTTGAGCCCAAGAGTTTGAGTTGGCTGTGAGCTATGACACCACAGCACTTTATTGAGGATTACAAAGTAAGACTCTGTCTCAAAAACAAACAAACAAAAAGAATATTCACTGCAGCATTTTAAAAAATTTACCTAAATGTCTATCTTTGGGAATGGTTAAGTATATCCATACAATGAAATACAAAGCAGCCTTTGACAAGAAGTGATTCCTTAGGTACTAATATGAAACAATGAACAAACTACAGTAAGTAAAATCAGACCCACAATGGCAAGGTACAGAATCAAATTGCTATCATTTAGAAATATACAGTATATATTAATATATATTAAATATATAAAAGATATATATATGTGTATGTGTGTGTGTTTGTGTGTGTAGACACACTGTATTACAATATCTCTAGAATGATACATAAGGAACTGAGACCAGAGGTTGTCTCCAGGGAAGGAAGTTGGTGACTGGGACATTTCTTTTCACTGGATATCCTTTCGTACTTTCTCAATTTTACACCATGTACATAGTGTGAGAAGTAAAGATATTTACACAGGTTTAAAGAGATTAGCTCCTTTAACCTGGATGGAAGTGGAACACATTATTCTTAGTAAAGCATCACAAGAATGGAGAAGCAAGAATCCTATGTACTCAGTCTTGATATGAGGACCATTAATGACCTAGTACACAGTGAGAGGGTGGGGGAGGGAGAGAGAAGGAGGGAGGGGGTGGGGGTCTTGGTGTGTGACACATCTTTTGGGGGCAAGACACAATTATAAGAGGGACTTTACCTAACAAACGCAATCAGTGTAACCTGGTTTCTTTCTTTCTTTTTCTTTCTTTTTTTTTTTTTTTTTGCGGTTTTTGGCTGGGGCTGGGTTTGAACCCACCACCTCCGGTATATAGGGCCAGCATCCTACTCCTTTGAGCCACAGGTGCCACCCAACCTGGTTTCTTGTACCCTCAATGAATTCCCAACAATAAAAAAAATTTTTTTAATAATAATAAATAAAAATTTTTAAAAAGAGAGATTAACTCCTTGCATCCACTTTTTCTTTTTTTGAGACAAATTTTCACTCTGTCACCCTAGGTAGAGTGTCATGGCGTCATAACTCACAGCAACCTCAAACTCTTGGGCTCAAGTGATCCTCCTTCCTCAGCCTCCCAAATAGCTGGGACTACAGGCTCCCACCACCACACCTGGCTAATTTTTTCTATTTTTAGTAGAGACAGGGTCTTACTCTTGCTCAGGCTGGTCTTCCTGAGCTCAAGCAATCCACTGCCTTGGCTTCCCAGAGTGCTAGGATTACAGGCATGAGTCACCATGCCAGGCCTTTGTATCCACTTTTAGAAGTTATAAATCCTTTTCTTGCTTTTCTTTACTCAGACACAGCTTATCTGTGCACAGAAAAAGAAAAGAGAAAAGAAACAAAAAGAAAAGCAAACATCCCATTGACATTTTCTTTCTCCCCTCCACAGTTTAAAGATCAAAACAAAACCATGAGCACCCTACTGACAGCTCTGCTTTCCTCCTCACTGATCTAATCCAGTAAACAGCTCTTCCTCTAGTTCCTCTCTC